CAACTAATGAAAAAAAAAAAGACTTTGCTACGGTGACATGCACTTTTCGGTCGACCTCATATAGGATTAGGTCGACCTAATCTGTTGTTTCAGTGTAAAAACAGTTTCATGGTGTCTACTTTGGAGATTCATATCTTACAATTGGCTGGATGGAAATTTGAGATTAAAGGCTTGTTTTGAAGCTGAAATGTCTCTCTACACATTAAAGTACTTGGGAGCTCAATAGAAAGTTCAGAAGACCATTTTTGAACCTGACCAAAAGGCTATGCCAAAACTGGGAAATTTCCTGAAAATGGTTAAGTCTGGCAACGTGTTTATCAAGCCTACTTTGGAGCTCAATTTGAGAAGCATGGATGCGACTCAAGTCCAGGGGCCTCTACCACGTTAAATTACATATTTTTTTATACAAAGACAAGGCATTGGATGAAAGATTGAATATCTTTAAGGCTTCATACAAAAGGCTCGAAGTTGCTACGAAGGCTGTTTTTCTGGCAGCTTGCTTGTGCTCGAAGTCTGCCAGAAAACAGCCTTCGTAGCAACTTCGGCTCTTTTATTTGAAGCCTTACAGATATGCAATCTTTCATCCAATGCCTTGAATTTGTATAAAAACGTACCTAATTTAACGTGGTAGAGGCTCCTGGACTCGACTCGCATTCATGCTTCTCGAATTGAGCTCCAAAATAAGCTTCACAAACACGTTTCCGGACTTAGCCATTTCCCAGTTTTGGCATAGCTTTTTGATGTGGTTCAAAAATGGTATTCTGGACTTCCTATCGAGCTCTCAATCACTTCAATATGTAGAGGTACACTCCAGCTTCAAAACAAGTCATTAGTCTTCAATTTCCATCTAGCCAATTGTATAATATGAATATCCAAAGTATGCACCATGAATTGTTTTTACACTGAAACAACAGATTAGGTCGACCTGGTCCTATATGAGGTCGACCGAATCCTAAATGAGGTCGACCAGATCCTATATGAGGTCGACCGAATTCTAAATGAGGTCGACCTAATCGTAACTGAGGTCGACCGGAAAGTGCAAGTCACCGTGACATGCATGTCACCGTAGGCACACCCAATAAAAAATCATAATTGAGGTCGACCGGAAAGTGCAAGTCTTTCTCAGCAAATCCACTTAACTAACATGTAAACAATAATTAATAAATTAATTTGAAAATGCTTGAAAGGAAAATAATTAATTGAAAGACCGAATGATGAATTGTTAGAAAAGAAACTAATATAACTGTGATAAGGTAAATGCTACAAAGTTATAATAAAATCATTAGACCATCTACAATGTGGGTGGGAGGGAAAGGTGGAAAAATAGGAAAAAGAGGGGAAAAAGAGGTTTTGGTCACAATGTGAAGGGTGGGAAGAGTGGGTAATTGGTTTAGTACTTTGTTGTTAAACTCAATCTATAGTTAATTTCGTTACTTTATTTTTATAATTATCATTATTTTTACTTAGTTAGTGATAATTAATCAATACGAACATTTCGATATAATTGTTTTTTAATCTGGACACAATTTTTTTCATCACAAATTAAATATAACATCATTGATTCTGTCTGTTGCGGATAGGGGTGGAAATTGGGGTGGGTGGGGTTACCTGCCCCACATTTTGCGGGTAATCACACCCACAAATATAGAATTATGCTACCCACAACTTGCCCCACAGTGGGTAGTGGTTAACCATTACCCGTTGCGGGTTGGTTGTGGATACCCACAAAATTTTACATTAATTATAATAATATTGTAATTAAATAGTGATGTTGTATTTCTTCTCACACAAAAACAAAACATACATAAAAGAAAGTTAATAAAGTGTAAATTCAAAAGTGATGGATTTGGAAAGAGATTTGAAATAACGAAGAGGCGGAGTGATATGTTACCAGACTAACATCGTTGCATGTCACGACTCCTCCGATGGTAACAACAGCAAAACACAAAAGTGGCTCGATAAGTGGAGGCGCCCGCTTTTAATGAATCGATTATTCTCCACTCTCTATTATAGTCTTGTGTTGTTGGTAGTTGGTTGCATGTTGTGTTGTTCGTGAGTTCGTAGAGAAATGGAGATGAGTTTGGGTATCTGATTAACCTTTATGGATTATTCTCCTCTTTTAACGAATCGATTAATTTATCTAACTATATCTATTGACTTGGTTTTGTTATAAAATAAACATATAACACAGGGACAATGCTTATTTAATAAAAGTATCTCACATTAACATTCCGTATTGACTTGGTTTTGTTTTATAGAATAAGTGCATATTTGATTTTGGTAGCTACTTAAATTCTTAGTCTACCAAGTTTCACAAACTAATATAACAAATGTGGTTAAATGTGGGTTACAAAGTATTTTGAATAAATAAATATAACTAATGTGGTTAATGTGGGTTTTGTGGGTAAACCGCTGTGGGTAGTGGTTAACCACTAACCACAAAAATCAATATTTTGCTACCCACACCCAACCCACTATCCACAAATTATGGGTATGGGTATCCACAAAGTGTGCGGTTTGGTGCGGGTTGCAGTCCAAACCCACTAACTAACCAGGCCCATTTCTAATGAAGCCCAACACAAAATTATCCAACCCACTAACTCACCCAGGCAGTCCAGCAGACCAGCACAACAAGGGGGGAAAACCCTAATCGCCTAATGCCCTAATCGTCGTCCCCTTCCAATTTCCATCTCCATCTGCGCAGCTGAGGACTGAAGTTAGGGATGGCAATGGGTCGGGTTGGGTCGGGTTTTGCCAAACCCAACCCAAACCCATGGGTTTATCCATGAAAAAAACCCGTGGTAAAACCTACTGGGTTTGAAAAACTCAAACCCAACCCAACCCGTTGGGTATCCGCGGGTTCATGGGTACCCACGGGTTTTTGTCGTAAAAAATTTACAATAACAAGTTCCTATCAAAATTAAAGTCAAATATCAATCTCTCAATACAAATTATTCATATTGAAAACACAATTCTAGAAAATTCAAGCAAATCACAAATTAACTATACAAATTGTTCAACACCAATCTAGAAAACTCAGGAAAATTGAAGTAAATCATAAATTATCCATAAATAACATATTAATTGAAGGCTTCTTCCTTTCAAATAAGTTTCTTCACTCTCCACTCGATAACACAAACTTCATTCTACACAATTAGAAAGAACAAATTAGACATGTCTCCACAAACATAAATAAGATTAGTTGTTTAAAATATTAAATATACCGAGAAAATTAATTATATGTGTGGGCGGGTACCCACGGGTCGGGTTTACCTAAACCCAAACCCAACCCAACCCGGTGAATAGTGAACGGGTTTAAACCCAAACCCGACCCAAAACCCGTCAACACGGATTTTACCCGCGTTTACCGGGTTGGGTCGGGTGGGTACCCGTGGGTTCGGGTTTGGTTGCCATCCCTAACTGAAGTGCTCTCGCCTCTGCTCTATCCCTCGGCGGGGACGACGAGGCAAACAGCTGGCGACGACGAGGCAAACGACGGCGCCGTCATCTCCCTTCGATCTCCGTTCGTTCGAGAGCAGTCCGCAGTCGATCTCCCCCGTCTCATGTACATCTCCCTTCGAGCGCCATCATCTCACCCCTCACCAGACTCAATCGACGAGCCGACGACACCTCCAGACTCCGGCGAGCGGCGACGACCTCGGTAGAAGTAGAACGACGGTAAGTCTCTGACCCTCGCCTCTCCATTTCTCATCGATTTCCCGTCAATCCAGCCATCCCCTGAGTTTATAGATCACTGAATGCAGGCATGTAGACTATGAGGATGAAGAACCTTTGTGAATGGTAAGTGATACACTCTATTTTATGATGGTTGTTTTTATCAATTTGATATGTGAATGTTAAGTTGTTAATTATTAATTTGTTATTGTTGTGACTTGTGAATTAGTTTACAATACCATTGTGGTGGAGGAAGAAGAGAGGCAAGCATGTGAGCATTCCAAATCTCGCGGGAGTGGAATTGAAGTTACAAGTACGAGCAAGATTGGGGATGGTAGCGTGATTGGATCGAAAGATGGACATGCAAGTGAGGCAAGTCGTGGTGCAACCAACTCTTCCTTTGTTTCAATTGAAGAGTAGAAATGATTGGTTGGCGAGTTGAAGTGGAGTTTGTTGGATTTATGTTATCTTTATTTATGCATTATGGATTTAAAGACTTTGGTTGTGTAATGAACTTTATTTAGACTTTGTGCTTGTTGTGTGAGACTATTATGATTAATGTTGGAATGTTTTGTCTTGGTTTTATTGAAATTTGGTAAAAATTGAAAGAAACAGGGGCTGCTGGTCACTTAAATACAGGTGAGGTGCTGCCCGGTTCGACCCGGTTGGTCAACCAGCCGGTCGTTTGGTGGGGTTTTCGGTCAAAACGGTTTTCCGGTCAAAACCAGACCAAACCGTATCTCATCCAATCCGATTTGGTTTAAACCGTGTACGGTTGGGCATAAGTCCAATCCGGTCATAAAAAACCGTGTCAATCCGGTCCGGTTTAAACCGAACCGGACTGTTTCCCGGCCCTAATTGATGGCAGTCCAATTCATCACCTTTTGTACACATCTAAATCATTAACAAATATTCCAACTACCAAACTAGTGTCTCATCAAATAATCAGAGGTAAAAAAATGGTGAAATTCAAAATTTGAGGGGGCCATGACCACCCCTTGGTGCGAGCTTGTTCAGTCCCTGGTCCAGGCCGGTACAAGAAGAAGGATCCTATTGATCAAGTATTAATGTTTTTCAATGCACAATCTTTCACAATTACGGATTATTATGATTTAGATTGGGCATCATGCCTTGATCCTAATTCCTAAGAGATTAATCAACTACGAACAGGAGTGAGCAGATGGAAGTTGTTGGTAAAAGAAAAGCCGTAAAGAACAATATAATGGTCCTGCTTGAACGAAATATATGTCCATCGATCGTTTTCTTGTACTTTTTACTTCTGAATTCCAATTTATAGATGCATGGCCGCATGGTATCTGCGGACAGTAAAACTTATGATTTTCTTTTTCCCTTTCCTTCTTCTGGAGAATTAGTTTAGGTCCCATGCAGAAGACCCCAACTACATGTATCTTAAATTGCACTTAATGGAAAGGAAAAGAAGAAAGAAAGAAGAGGGAAATAAATATACACAGAACGACCTCTAATTAATTAAGCAATTGATTAGGGAACCGGTAGCAGCTCCATAAATGGCGGTCATCAAGACATCACTAGCCTAACTCTAGCTACACTTTAATTTCCCCCCTACCCCCAAAATCATTCACTCACTCACTCACTCACTCATATCCAGCTAGCCTTTTGCTGCACCGCCCGTCAGTCGCCCAGCCCAGTACATTAAACTGCTTGCCTTGCTTTCCTATCCCAAGCTAGCCAACAACATAACTATTATTAGTTATTATTAATATCACTACTTCCACTAGCTAGCTAGCTAGCATCTCTTATTTTTTCCCGTCTGAAAGAAAGAAAGAAAGAAAGAATGGTTGCAGGGAAGTCGCAGTCGCCGACGTCGTCATCAGCTTGGTGCGATGGCAGTGGGTTGAGGAGAGGCCCCTGGAGCTCAGAAGAGGACCAGAAGCTCTTATCCTACATCCAGCTTCACGGCCACGGCAGCTGGCGCACTCTTCCCGAAAAAGCTGGTCAGGCCCGCTCTAGACGGACAGTCAATGTCTGGTTTCTGGTGATCGATGATAAGTTTTGTTCCACTTAGATGATTATGATTGTGATTGTGGCAGGTCTTCAGAGATGTGGGAAAAGTTGCCGGCTGAGATGGATCAACTACCTGAGACCGGGCATCAAGAGAGGCAAGTTCACCCTCCACGAAGAACAAACCATCATCCAGCTCCATGCACTTCTCGGAAACAGGTTCATAGTTCAATCCCAATTACGCACGCACACGCTGATTATATTACTACTTTGCCACTTCTTCAGTTTCTAATTACTTTCTATATATATATATATATGTCTGCACTGCAGGTATCTTCAACCCTAATCTAGCTAGCTCACTTATTAATTGATTGAAACTATTAAAGTGGTAAATTAGCTAGCTAGGGTTAGTTTAATTGAACAGGCACAAGAATCGGGGTTGCCTCTACTTTCAGTTAGTTATGTTTTGGGAATGCACAAGAATCGATCGAATAGCTGGCTGGCTATAGGTCGTCTCTCTCTCCTAACTCTGCAGTCTTCTGCTGCTGCAAGCAACATAGATCGATCATTCCCCAATCATGTAATGTAATATTCCGGCCCGGCCCGGCCGGGGACCGTAAGTAAGTTCAGTTCACGCGGTCCCCACCGGCGGGCGAATTGAATTGAATTGAAAGTTTGAAACTGATCTGATCTGACGGTGACGGGCAGGTGGTCGGCCATCGCAGCGCACTTGCCGAGAAGAACTGACAACGAGATAAAGAATCACTGGAACACCCACCTGAAGAAGCGGCTGTCCCTGATGGGGATCGATCCCGCCACCCACAAGCCCAAGGTGCGCCGCCTGGACGGTGGTGACCCCAAGAACGCCTCCACACTCAGCCACATGGCTCAGTGGGAGACCGCCCGCCTCGAAGCCGAAGCCAGGCTGGTGAGAGAGTCCGATTCCCTCCGCCAGCTACAGCTGCCATCTCACTCATCCTCCACCTCAGCGCCTTCGCTGCCTTCCCACCTTGACCCTCCAAGATGTTTGGACGTGCTCTCCGCCCGGGCTTTAGGGCTTGGATCCTGTCTCCAATCACCCATCTCCAAGTTCGCGGATGACAAGATGCACTATACCTGCCATTCTCCCTTCTCCTCCTCCTCCTCATCATGGCCAGTGGAAATATTTGCTACTACTACAGGTATCAAGTTATCCACCAATAATATTACTCATCACCAACTACCTGGCACCACCGGTAGTCAACAGCATGATTTAGAACACCAAGGAACGATGGCTACTCATCATCATCATCATCATGGTTCCAATATTTATACCGACACCTGGATTCATGACCACGACTTATCTATCAATTTCTTAGATTCCGCTTCTACTGCCTGGCCTCCCATGGATTAATCATATCATCTTGCCTACCGACCAATATTCTGCAACCCATATATATGTTTCTCTTCGTTCCGTTTCTTTTCTTCTTTTTTCATTATCCTGTTTACATTTTTTTTTGAGTAATGTAATGTAGTCATTGGTGAATCCTCGCCATGAACAACATGATCAATTCAGTGTCTGTATGTTAATTGCTGTATCCCTGTGTAAAATGTGTGCTTCTAGTTATCCCAAAAAGAACAAATGTACGCTTCTTCCAATAGTGTTCATATAATTAATGCTGTTCAGGAAACTCTCTTTCGAATTCAACATCCGGTATATATGGGGCGTCATCAGGTGCTAACAGAGAATGCAGATTGAAATTTTCATCTTCCAACGGCTATTCCGCCTTTTTGTCTATCAGCGAGGAAGACGATCCACGACGGCAGTGTTTCGTCAAATGAAGTTATGCTTTTACCAGTATTGTGAGAGACACGGAGTAGAGGCCGAGTCGGCCTATGGGGGTATTCGGGTCATTTGAGTATTATTGGGGGAGAGAACTATTTAATCTACCGTCTTTGTTATTTCGATTAATCAAGCATAATATCATAATTCCTAAACCCTAATTCCTCTTCTCTTCTTCAATTCCCACCTCAATTCCCAATTCTCAACCCTAATTCTTCTATTCTCATCCCTAATTTCTATTCGATTATCCGTGTTTCTCACAATTGGTATGAGAACCTCGTCGACATGAGTTCTACAAAACTCTCGGATGGGGACCAGGGGAACCCGATCGAGACTCGCCTGCTGGAGGTCATCGCCCGGCTTGAGCGGGTGGTCGCGGACCTATGGCGAGGGAGAGGCGCAATGGAGGGCCTGGCCGCATGTTCGGATGCTCTAGCGGCGACAGCAGCAGTGCCGCGGCAGGAGGCGGCAGCACCGCGGGAGAAGGAAGGAGGCGCGCGGGTCAGGAGACCATCTGCCGTTGCCGCCATCGCGGCAGCTGGGTCAGCAACAAAGCGCTTCAAGGCGCAGATCGCAGGGGAGTGGGGCGTTTCCCTCGTTAACAGCGGGGCCTCCCTCAACTTCGTGGGAGAAGAGTTCGTGCGCCGACTGCAGACACCTCAGGTGGCCATAGTTCCCTTCGATGTGAAGGTCGCCAATGGTGCGTCGTTGCTGTGCATAGGGAAGCTGGCAGGAGTGTCCATGCAGATCCAAGGTCACAGATTCCTCTTGACTTGTACGTGCTGCCGTTACAGGGATTCGACATGATCTTGGGCATGCCATGGCTCAAGAGCTTGGGCTCGGTGACTAGTGACTGGGCGAAGATAATTATGTGGTTCAAGTGGAGGGACAAGGATTGGGAGTTGGAGGGCATGACCACGACAACTGGGTCGGTCGAGTGGGGGACCAGCAGCTCGAGGGTGGCGTAGAGCTCGCTGTGTTTTCCAATACCATTAAGTATTGAATGTTTCTTCTAATTTATATGAGATTTTCCAAAATATCGTCGAATCTACACGTACCTTCAGAAATTCTCGGGGGGGGGGGGGGGGAGCTGTTTCTCTGCCCATGCCTGTCTCATCTTACTTTCATTAAAATAAGAAGCCATACCTAAACTTATTGCATTTTGCACACAAATGCAAAGACAGTTTCAAGTGGCAATCAAACGAATTAGAAGTGACCAAGGGAGAGAATTTCAAATGGATGAATTTTTCACATCCACTGGTATAGTTCATGAGATGTCATGTGTAGAAACACCCCAACAAAACAGTAAGGTCTAAAGGAAACATCAACATATTCTTGCCATTGCTAGAGCCTTAAAATTTCAAGTTTCCATGCCACCCAGTTTCTGGGGAGATTGTGTTAAGCCTGCTGTTTATTTGATCAACAAAGTCCCACTACAGGAAAACCAACATTTAATCACGGGAGCTTATTCACGGGGAGGCTTCCCGTATTAAAAAGTAAGCCAATAATTACCGGAAAAATTACAGTATCTAATTGCACCATTCTAGTCACAGGATTTATTTTCCCCATTACAGTATCTGACCGCACCTGCAAGCTGCGGTCTTCGATCCATGGCGCGGATCGCTGAAGTGCCGTGCGGTCCGCCGTTGGATCGCCGCCTCATCCAACGCTCTCCAAGGCCGCTGGCGAGGAAACACAAACCGCACCCTGGAGGTGCGGTTCGCTGGCTGACGTGGAATGGACCGCACCTCCAAGGTGCTGTTTATAAATAAAAAGCACCGTCCTGGTGTGTTTTATTTATAAAACGCACCTTTCAGGTCCGGTTTCAAAGAAATGGTGCTATTTTTGTAAATTTTAGGGACTGGGTGCTATTTTTGTATTTTTTTTTTAAAAGGTGCTATTATTGGAAGATCCCTTAGATTTTAGGAGGGAATATTTTCACTTCAAAGTTCAAACCAAATGGGCAAAGCTAATCTTCCCCCGGCCCTTGCAGTGAAAATTTCCCCCGTAATCTTTTCGGAAAAATCAAATAGAGATAGCCACCAAAATCTCCCCTCAATTCTCATCCAGCAAAATATCCCCGCCACTTTAATTTTTTCACCGCCACATTTTTTGGCCCCTAAACATACCGTTTGGTTTAAACGAATTCCATAAGTTTTGAGAAATTCATTTTGAAATGAAATATTTTGGTTTTTGGTATTCAAAAGAATTCATTTCCAATTCTAAATTTTGAGTTCTATGGAATTGGTACTAGTTATAGAAATTCCGAAGAATTGAGATAGAATTTCAAAATAAATTCCACAACTATTTACTAATTATAATAGAATGTCATAATTATCCTCTTTATTTACTAAATTACTTATTTATATATAACATATCAAACACAAGAATTCATTTGAAAATGAATTTTAAACGACCAATTCATTTTATTTCTAAAGTTTTGAATATAACATATCAAACACAAGAATTTTAACCGTCTATTCATTCTTCTTTAGAGAAACTCTAAACCTTACCACCACTGCTCACCCTTTTCCTTCTCCATCCCGACCTAGATCTTCCTCTTTCCTCTCTTCTTGATAGACCGTTAATTGCACATGTTTTTATCCCTATTCTTGAGCCGTTTGAGATGTTGATTCTCGTGTTTTAGGCCAATTTCACGCTGTGTTGTGCTTGTTTGTGATATTTCAGGTCATAGTACGTGAATGAAGGTGTGAGAACGAGTTCGGGGTCGATTGAACGAAGTTTGGACATTTGGGGAGAAGCTGAGAAGCCATATGGGCGTGCCTAAAACCCACACGGCCGTGTAGGGGAACCCATGTGGCCGTGTGGAAATTCCAGGGAACTCACACGAGCATCTTGGAAATCCACACGGCCGTGTGGTTGTGGCCATGTAGGATGGCTGGAAGTCACTTAAACGAAACTCGGTGTTTTGACACTCACACGGGCAGCTGGGAAAGCCACACGGCCGTGTGGCCTGCCCGTGTGGTCGGGAATTTCTGGGTTTTTACCCCAATTCGAGCCAAATGAGAGAGAATCGACTTTTTTGCAGCAAAAACTGAGCCCTAGAGAGAGAAAGTGCGAAGAACACAACCTAGAAGTGATTTTGGAGCTGGGTTTCATCAATCGAGCTTGGAGATCATCATAGGAGTGAAGATCATCTTCCCATAGCAGATTCTTCTCATTGTTATGAGTATGACTGCTTTGTATTCTGTTTTCCCCTCTCTCTCTATGGAGTAGAACCCTCTCTCACTTGGGTATGAAGAACCCTAGTTCCATGTGGTAGGGATCATGATTGTAATAACTTGGGATTGCTATACTGTTTGGTTTTAATCGAATGATGCATTGAATCGATTGAAGTCTGATCATCTTTTCTTGATTTCTGCTGCAACCTGAGATAGATAGAATCTGATTAGGTGTTAGAGCTTCATCATTCGGTAGTGGTAGATTGGTTATACGAGAGTTAATCAATCTACTGCTTTGTACTAGAACCCAACTATAGAAGTGGAGTTCTGTGCGTATTGCTTCAGCTTTCTATCCCAGTGAAGACTAGTCGTCTGCCGGGTAGTTGGACTGAAAGGGCTTGGTCAGCTTAAGAGATTCCAAGCTACTGTCGGATCTTCCGAAGTTTAATCAACAGTAAAACAACCCAGGAAAATTACAACTGAGACCTAACTAAGGAGCTAGGGGGACTCATTCCCGAGTGACTCTTCCTTTGCTTCAGAAAACCGAATCAATTCCTGCTTTCTTACTGCTTTTACGTAAAACCAGAATCAATCGACTTAGTTGGCTAGATAATAGATATTCACGGAGTAGGCAGTAGATCTAGACCCCGGGTTGATAATTAGAACTTGCCACTTTACTGCATTCCCGGACTACGATTACACTTGGTCGCGGTTTGGTGTTGTGTCCTAGCGTGTCAAGTTTTTAGCGCAGTTGCCGTGGAACCTCTAGGTTATTGGAGAAACGTGAAAGTTTGTTACTCTAGCTTTTTCTTTACTGCATTTTCTCTCTTCCACCTGTGTGCGATCCACCTGAGGTACTTCCCATTTACTCTGGAGGGGCAGGCCAAGGAGTGGCTAGCACTCGACCTCCAGGCTCGATCACCACGTTCGCCAACCTGGCGGACATGTTCTTCACTCGCTACCATCCTCCGTCCAAGACGGCGGACCTGCAGAAGCAAATTACCCACTTTGCTCAGGATAAAGATGAGACCATCCGGGATGCTTGGGAGAGATATACCAGTCTCTTCCTCAAGTGTCCCAACCATGGTTTTACTGACGCCTTCAAGGTGGGCACCTTCTACCATGCCCTCTTCCCATAAGACAAGCAGCTGATTGACTCGGTCTGTGGCGGGAATATGCTCACCAAAACACCGCCACAATTGAATCAACTTTTTAAGGAGATGGCAGAGCAGGGCTATGATTTGGGAACTACGAGGAGATCAAGACGAGCACCAGGGCGGGGTGCATGCTGTAGCCACCCAGTCATCTGATTTGGTGAGGTGGTGTCTAAACTGGTTTCAGCCATCGATCGTTCGAGAATGATCCCAGGGGCAGGACATCAGCAGGCGATGCAATGCTAGTGGTGCGAGAGCACCCATCACACTGTGGAAGACTGCCAGGGGATGCGTGAGTCTAGTACACCCCAGGAGCAGGGGAACTTCATCAACAATGTCCGGCACAACGACCCATACAGTAACACCTATAATGAGGGATGGCGCCAGCATCCAAATTTCTCCTGGAGTGGCAACCTGGTGCACCTCCATCAGTCCCAACACCGGGTGATCCCGTGTCAGAACTGAGGGATCTAGGGACTACCTTGGCGAGCACTAGTACCCCAAAAGTTCAA